TTGGGGGAGCTCACTAAGCTTCGTGCTTACAGTTTCAGTTTTGGTTTCAGGTACTTAGTTTTCAAAAGAGGAGCTCGGGAAGATTGCAGTGCACACACCATTTGTTCAGCTTGGGATGTTTATACTCTGATATATTTGACAGTTGTTATAATATTTTGAGATACATTGCTTATGATTTCTATATGAGGTTTATTGACTATGGTTTTATCATTAAATTAAACGAAATTTTCAGACTGTGTTTTTGGGATGTTACATTAAAAGTAGTACAAAAGTACTATTACAAACTATTCTACATCTTTCAATAGTATGTAAACATACTAGTTATTTATTACCTGCAATTGTTAAACATTGATAGGGTAAGCGGTGACGCTTAGTGAAAAATAGATACAATATAATGTTATGCCATATATATACTTCAATGTGGCAAAGCAAAGAGGAACAACAAGATGTATGTGAGATCATGTGACAAGCGTTCATATCAATCAAAGACATTATTCAAAGATATTCTTTTCAATTCTTGATATACATCAATAAAGCTTTGGCCCAAATGGCATAGATGACATGCAATTTCTGATTAACCTCCTGTTAGATTTCAGGCTTATAGTCCTGTCTAACCATTTGCCAATGCCATAGAATAGAATTCATTCTCTTACGGAGACATGCTCTACATGGCCAGAGGCTACGTACCAGTACCAATGTGAATCTAAGTCCTTTCACTGATCACATGGTCAAAGGTATTACAATTCCTATAAACATAGCGAATAACACGAGAATGATAATACTGAAAAGCACATAGCACATATAACACATAACATACAATTGTTCCTATATATTGAACTCACCTTAAGTTAACCGAGGGTTAAAATAGTAATTTGGACAGCATTTCGACTTTAAATATGACTTTCTTAATTGAAGACCGGGCTCTGCGAAGGTATGGTTTCAAAACCGAAAGAATACAATTTTTCGGGTTTTCGGGCACTTCGGGATGTATTCCGGGTTTTAAAAATGATACTGGGGCTTCGAGAAAAGTCAAAATAGTCAAAATATGGAGAGAGGGGTGAAAAATGCCAACTTTGCAATTCTATTTGGCAAATCTCGCATCCCTCTTATTTATAGGGTACGAGTCCGAGGGGTGCTTGGCTAGGGAGGCTCCACGTAGTACCTGCGAGGTTCAGACACAGAAGGAAGGCGTGGCAGCGAAGGGGCGAGACACGGAGGCGAGGTGCGTCGGAAGAGGATAGGTCGCGAGGCTGGTCGAATCCGGAAGCAACACGCGTCGGATGCAGCGAAGGCCAGCGAGGCTTGGATGCGAAGGGCACGTCGGAGGTTGGTCGGCGAGACATGGCTGCTTCGTATTCTTCCACGGATGCGACACGTGTCATGCATGCGAGGCTCGTACGTGGCCAAATCTGAGCCATGCATGCGAAATTCCTCGGATTTTGCACCAAAAACTTCTAAAATTCATAACTTTCTCATACGGACTCCGTTTTTGACGTTCTTTATATGAACGCGTAGCTAAAATCATGCTCTACAACTTTCGTTTAGACTTTGTTGGCTAATTTTGACTTTAATTTTAATATTGTTATTTTTAACAGATCGGGATAGGAAAATCCGTTAAAAATTCATAACTTCTTCATCCGACGTCCGTTTTCGTCAGTCATTTTACTTTTGTACTACTATTTACAAGACCTTCGATTCTCGTTTAGGTTGTGTCGGCTAAATTTCGCTCGATCTTAAATTCAAGTATTTAGTTGTCTACTGCTAAGCTAAAACTTAGAAAAATCATAACTTCCTCATACGAAGTCAGATTTTCGCGTTCTTTTTATCGAATTTCTTGTTTTAATGAATACTACGACTTTAGTTTAGATTGTTAAGGCTAAAAAGCACTTTATCGCAATATTCACTTTTTACGCTTCCCGTTGCCGTGTCGGTTTCGTCGCGAAACTTCGACAGGTCATAACTTCTTCGTTATAACTCGGATTTTAACGAGGTTTTCGCCTACAAATTTTTAACGAGATTCTCTACAACATCTAATAGTAAAATTTTACTTATTTAAAATTTCATATTTTCGCTAAATTTCACTATTTGGCTTTTAATTGGAGTCTCATAAGACTTCCAATATTTTCTGAGTGATTCTAAACATAGTTTTACTTCAGTTATAGTAAAAACCATCTGTTAGAACTCAACACTCAATTTTACATAATATTTCACAATTTTATTCATTACAAAACATGATTTTAAAACGTGTATGTTACACATATAGGCTTAAACTCATGCATTTTGCATGTTTTTTCGGGATTTTTCATGAGGCTATTTCATTCACACACTTTTGATATATTTCAGAGACTTTTGGAGGTAGGATCTTGCTTGAGGAGGTAAATAAGAGATGTGGACGAAATTTCAGGACTTACGGAGAACCGGGGATGAAGATATCAAAGAATTGAGGATTTTGGCTTTTCAGATGATTACACAGTTGTGTAAATGGAAGCCTGGCGTTTACACAGGCCGTGTAAACGAAGATTCTTGAGCATTACACTTTGAAGGCTCGCCCAATTTAAGCAGTGCACTTTTGTATTTACACGGGCCGTGTAAATGACAATGTTAATTTACATGGGCTGTATAAACGTGGTCGTGAGTTAAAAAGTTGTTTTTCTTCTTTCTTAAAAAGGTGCAACCGGTTCCATTTTGAGTTTAGTCGATTTTAGGAGTACTTGGGGCGATTTTCTGAAAGAACTTGAAGTCAATTAACACTCAGAAACACTTGGATTTCGTTTGGATTAATAAGACTTTAACTTCATTTTCTAGATTTGTGTTTTGTTACAGTCATGTATGGCTAGAACCATAGACTCTCTAACTTTATGTCTTGACTATTGAGTGTGATTTCAATCATGTGACTTGGTGTTTTTTTTTCTAAATCTATCTAGTGAATTTGATTTCGTTTCAATTGAAAGTTTGATTATAATTCTGGTTCTTATTGGCCATTTGATTTAGGGTTAAATCACATGAGTTATCTATTGTGCAAAATCCGTAAATGTTTTGTAAAACAGAACAAGTAACAATCATTAAATTGAATTCAATAGAATAAATCTAGTGTAAATCAAATTCACACAATCTTACGCTCCCGAGCTTGTGAAGAGTATTGAATATTGTTGGGAATATTCACACAAAGCTTAATCCAGTCTTTCAACCTAACTATAATAGCTTGTTTAGATTAGACTGGTAAGTTTAAGATTAATCAAAGAGCTTATTTTGGTTAATTAATGTAGTGAATGAGAATTGCTAGAGCTTGTTAGCATTTCCAAATACCAACTTAGATAAAATTGAACAAATATCATTTCATCCATGTAATCACATTGCTCATGTGTCTTGCATATAGTTGAAGTACTTATAAATCCTGAATTTGTTTTAGTTAATTAATCATTTACTCGTTACTTTCAAACAAATAAGTGCATATACCACCCCCCCCCCTCCCAAAAAAAAAAAAAAAAATTACTAAGACCACATTTGTACCTTACGCAAAAAGGTATAAGCACTTTTTGCGTGTCTCTGTGGATCGACCATGCTTACATTGTATTACATTTATAGTGCAAAGTAGTAGTGTTTTTGGAGTCATTTGTACCTATTTATTTGTTGGGTTTGACACACCTGACAACAGGTTATGAAAAATACGAAATTACTAGAGAGACAATAATAGAAATTATTGAGTTTCTAGGATTTCAATGTAATTTTGTATGTTTATCAACTCGTTAACTGCCTTATCCAAAAAAGAGATCGGATTGGGAGAGATATCAATTTTTTTCTCTTCAGTTCTTTTGAAATATACGAAAATACAAGCACATGCCGGATTCTCTCTTGTTTTGATCAATTTTCTGAGCCTAAAATTTTGATTGTTCCTTTGATGATTATCGTATATCGAATTTCTCATAACCCAGAAATATAGGAAAATTATCGACTCGAAAAGTGAATCAACACGATCCTTAAAGAATCCAATGATTATGATTTTATGTTTCTATCATGTTTTCTAACATTTAAAACCGACACAGAGCCGATACAAATCGAAATTGCATTCACAAACTGCAAAATCGAGCCATTGAAAGACTGCATCCAACGGTTTTTAGAATGCAAAAACTGCACCTTACGATTTGCGGTTTGGTTTGGCCTAATCCGTACAAAACTGTATCATACTCGCCCCTGATTATTATGTCAAATTATATTTTATTGAGAAAATTACAAAAATAGCCTAAACCTTTAATTACTTTGTATAAAACAGCCAAAAAAACCCAAATTACAAAAATAGCCACCAAAATCGGAGATAGACTCAATCCATCTGCGATTTTACTTGTACGTTCGCAAATGGACTCAATTCATCTGTGATTTCTATAAAAACATATTTATTTTATTTTATTTTTCGAACTTTTTGTTGGAGAACTCTCTCTCTCTCTCTCTCTCTCTCTCTCCGGAGGCACTATGGACGACTTCATTTTTCAAACTTTTTGTCGGAGAATTCTTTTTTTAGAGAGGTTTTAAACAATTTTTTTTAAAGAAATAACAACTAAAGTGATAATTTTTTACAAAACTTTATATATAATAAAGTTGTTTCCTAATCAAACACTATTAATTTCATAATCAAATTAAAAAAAAAAATGTAAAAACGTGGGTGAGATGAGAGGAAATCACAGATGAACTTAGTTCATTTGCGATTTTAATCAGAGATGAAACTATTTATACGAAAAAATTAAAAAAGCTAAAAAAAAGCCACCTACAAATATACACGTCGCTAAACCTAAAAATAGCATATGCGTTTAATCCATCTGCGATTTTCATAGTTATATTTGTAATGTGAGGTTTTTTTTTTTTTTTTGACTATTTTCCACAAAGTAATTAAAAGATTAGACTATATTGATAATTTTTTCTATTTTATTTGGTTATTTTATTAAAAAAAGCCTTTATAAACTCGGTTAGTTTACTCTATTTACATAAAAAATCATTTTTTTTCTTCAAAAAATATATGATCTTGAGAGGGACAAAGAAGCATTTTTCTTCTTTTATAGGGATAAACACCGTAAATTCTCTTTCTTCTTCCGCCTTGCTTTCAAATTATCGGATCAAATCTCTTCGAATTAGGGTTTCGTTTTCTTTTTGGGAAAAAAAATCTTCATTCTTACTTCATAGGGTTTGAAATTATCGGATCGAATCCTTCGAGTTAGGGTTTCGTTTTCTCCCTGAAGAAAATTCACCGTTCTTTAAAGAAACAACTATGTACAACGGAATCGGATTGCAAACCGCTCGTGGCTCCGGTACGAACGGTTACATTCAGAGCAATAAGTTCTTTGTAAAGCCTAGGACAAATAAGGTGTTGACGGGGAACAGCGGCGGCTATGAGGCTGGACAGGGTATAGCCGGCGTCACTAGGAAACCTAACAAAGATATCCTCGAGCATGATCGTAAGCGCCAGATCCAGCTTAAACTTGTTGTTCTTGAAGATAAGCTCGTAGATCAGGGATATACCGATGATGAAATCGCTGAAAAGCTAGATGAAGCCCGTAGAACTTTGGAGGCTGCTTTGGCGTCAGAGGATGCCGGTGGTGCCACAGCAGTTGTGATGCACTCTGATCAGAAGTAATTTTCTCTTTCGCTTAATAACAGTTCATATCTACTAATCCTCATTAGGGAATAATATTCAATCTGGTGTGGGATGTCTTGTTGTGCGCTTTTGAAATATGTGATTGATTAGTTATCTACCTTGTTCTACTATGCTAACTCACTCAAATATGACGCTATTTGTTTGCTACTTTGCCTTGATGAAAGTATAATTTAGATTTTAGACTAGCTGCTAGAGCATATGCATAAGCTCATTTCATAATTCACACTGTTATAGAAGGTCTAAGAAGATAAAATTTGAAAATGCATCGCTCCCTCCTTTCTCACTTAATCATGTATTCATGTTTTAACTGTGAATCAGTGAGTGTGAAATGATCTACTATCAAGTTCAAAGTTAATATCATGAAATATGATTTTGGAACATCAAAAGGACAAGAACTATAAGTAGAAAGAAGATTTCATATTTAAATTCTGAAATATGTATAGCAGCAGAAAAGTTACAGGATATCAAATAATAGGAATCATGGGAGTACTATCTAGACTTAAATCTTTATTAAACATGAATAATATGTATAGCAACAGAATATTCAGATTTCGTTGGAGTACTATCTAGACTCAAATTTGTAATAAACATGAATAATAGCGCATAATTAAGATAAGAATTGTATAACAAAGTATTTAATATATTATTTAGATAGTTAGTACTTCCCTTATTGTTCTAGTTTTATAAGGTTTTGGCTTTTAGATGTTCGATTGCTTTGCCCATTATTATAAGATAGGGATATAGGATAACTTGTTTAACTATTTTTGTGCTTTCATTTTTTATGTTCTTTTCACTTCTTGGACACTATTGTGCTGTCTTGCGGTGTGCTTTAACATGCTTACGATTTCAAAGTTTCAGTTATAATTCATCAATGGATACATATATATATATATATATATATATATATATATATTAATTTTGGTGGGTATATTGTTAGTAATGATGATGGAATGGTCAAGGTTTTTAAGTACAGAATTGTGAGACAAGGCGAATGTCATATAAACAATAAAATTTAAAAAACTCACAATGAATAACACGAATTTTTATATCAAACTTAGAAGTTCATAAGAACTATAATATTATTAGTTATATTATAACTTATAACCTGTATCTCTTTAAAACATAATGTCATAATTAGATAAACACATTCATCAATTTATCAAGAAGTCATTTTCCTCTTCCTAGATCCTGGATTTTTACCCTCATTTTCAATTTCCCTTGTCATTTCCAATTCTCTGTTATTGTCAAATTCATTACCCTTTTGGTTGGTATCCATTCATTACCAATTCACAATAAGTCACATTCTCAACAATTAAAGGTTCATCTTCCTCTTTTAGTGACTTTCTTGAGAAACTTGTGATGAAATGAGACTGCAGAGAAGTTGTGATTGTCAATTGGGTTTTTTTTTTTTAATCTTAATGAAGACTTGATTGCCTTTCAATAACTCTGACATTCTTTATAAAAATACATCCTTTTTGGAACTTATAAAGCACATTATAGTAGAATTTCTGTATGCACTTGTCAGTGATTGCCAATGAGAAAATGATTGATATATTGGGTCATTGGGAAATGAAATCTAGGTTAAGGATTGAGAATAAGCTTCAGAAAGCAGATATCCCTTTCAATCTGTGGAGAATATCTTTGTTTATAAATCATAATGTTATCAGTTATCAGATTAGATAGAAGATGCTATATCCAAAAAAAATCTGTCATCTGTCAGTTAATCCCTGAAAAGTGTGGTCAAAACCAAGGTTCTCTATTAAACAACAAAAAGAACCATTTTTTTAAATGTCTTTTTATTTTTGGTTTTTTAGGGTTTCAGACACTCAGACTCATCAAGTTGCAGCACGTAAGCAGAAGCAAATGGAAGCTTTAAAGAATGCTCTTGGAATAGTTCATGAAGATGAAAGGAAGAAGAAGTATGCACTTGTTTCCGATGATGAAAAAAGCAACGATGATGATGAAGCCAAAAATAACAATGGCAAACTTGAAAAAGATATCAAAGTTGGTAAACATGGGATTGATGAGCTCAAAAGTTACAAGAAAAAAACAAGCAAAAAAAGAGAGGTTTCTTCAGATAGTGAGAGTGACACCAATACTAATAGCAGTGAAGAAGAACCTGTGAAAGTGAGTAGGAAGAAACATCAGAAAAGTAAGCCAAGAGTTGACTCTGACTCTGACTCTGAATCTGAATCTGATGTTGATGTAAGAAAAAGCAAGAGGAAATCATCAAGTAATAAGCATAAGAAAGATAGAAAACATGAAAGTGATGATTCAGATTCTGATGAACTCCCAAATTTTAAAAGTGAAAAGGGCAAGCAACTTTATTCCAAGAGCAGGCGGCATGATTCAGATGATGATGAGTCTGAATATGAAGAAAGACGAAAGGAGGAGAAGAGGAAAGAAAGGAAGATAGAAAAAGAGGTTTCTACCCCTATTAATGATAGGTGGGATGGAGGTGGTAACAAGCATGATGATAGAGAAAGGAGATATGAGAGGGTGGGAAGAAGGAATCATGATGTTGAAGAAGATGCAAGGGGCAAAAAAGAGAGAGTTGAAAGCGGTGGAAGGAGGAGGCATGATAGCGATGATGAGGATTATGAAAGTAAAAAGACTAACTTGCCCTTGGTTAAGAATCTAACGAAGAGCAAGAGTAGTGATGATGAAGATGAAGATAAAGATAGAGATAGGCGGGGTGTAAAGCACAAAAGAGATGAGGAAAAGGGTAAGGGTAGGGGTAGGGGGAGTCATTATTCAAAGTATAGCAGAGAGAATGAAAGGAGGGGCGGGAGAAGCGGGGATCATGTGGAAGAAGATTTAAGAGGCAAAAAACAGAGAGTTGAAAGTGGTGGAAGAAGGCAGAATGATGTTAAAGAAGATGTGAAGGGGAAAAATGTGAGAGGTGAAAGTGATGGTGGAAGAAGGCAGCATGATGATGTTAAAGAGGATGTAAAGGGCAAAAAAGAGAAAGTTGAAATTGGTGGAAGAAGGGTTCATGGTAGTGATGATGATTCCGACATAGATGTGAGACGTACAAGGGAGAAAGTTGAAAGGGGTAGAAGAAGACATGATGATGATGAACATGAACCTATGATGAAGATGATGCCAAATAAGGATGAAGATAAACACAAGAGTAAAGGTAGTGATGATGAGAATGAAGATGAAGACAAGAGGCGAGGTGTAAAGCACAAAAGAAGAGGGGAAGAAGACGAGGAGGAAAAGGGTAGGGAGCGTCATTATTCAAAATATAGCAGAGAGCGTGAAGAAGAAGAAGAAGAAGAAGAGTATAGAAGCAGGAGAGGTGAGAGGGATCACTCAAAGAGAAGCAGAGATGATAGGTATGATAGTGGCAAGCATCATCATGCAGGACGTTCCAGGCATTGATCCAGTTTACTACGTAAGGAGTTGTTTATTATTATTATTAGTATTATTTTTTCATTGAGTTCTGTTTTGATGGATTAATTATACTTGCTTATGGTTTTTTTTTTTTTTTTTTTTTCAGGTTGCTTGTAGTTGTAATGAATTTACATGGTGGTTGCTTGGATGTATTAATGCATGACAGATATTGTAATGTGTGAGTTTCAACACTTGGCTTCCTTTCTGCACTAAAGATTTTATCAGAGTCTTAAAGCTTTTGTTTTATTCAGTTTATGTAATATGTAATGATGATACCTACCATTTGCCACTTATATTTTGTTGTGGTTTATTTATTTACTTTGCCTTTTGGAACAAATATAAGTGGGGAATAATTGAATGCATTCGTTGGTTTTTAGTTGGGTTAGGTGGGTCGACCACAGACAGTGGGATTAACTCCCATAACCACTCAGTTTTTTTTTTTTTTTTTTTTTTCCGGCAAATCTAACTTATTCATAAACTACACCTTAAATCTACCTGCCCTCAACCTCAAGCAACACTGGATGACAGGTTACATGTATTTGTACCATTAGACTATGACATTTAGTTAGAGAAATTAGTAATTTTATCTTATGAAGGCAAATTATGTAAAAGTTATTATATTTTTCGTCATTGTAGTTTAACCGTTATATTTCAGTATTTTAGTTTCCTCATATCTATGTTTATTTGACAAGTATTTTCTAGACAAATATATGCAAATACTATTCCTGGTTTACTACCACAAAAGAAGCCACAGATGGTCCTAAGGTTTACAAAAGACACCGCAAATGGACTCTAAGAAAATTTTGTTACACCTGTGGTCCTTTAGATTTAAAAGTCTTGCACCTAAGTCTATTTCCCTAGCACCACTAAAGGTAAGGGTCAAGTCCATTTGTTAAAAAAACAACAAATGACAACCCTCCATCTCTCCTTAATAACTTTAATCCATGAACATCCAAACGCATAATCTCTCTCCTATAGCTCAAGAACCAGTTCTGCATAGATAAAAATATCAAATTTGAGTGATTTTAAGTTATAATGGTTGAACCACAAAAAAAAAAAAATACAAAAATACAGTGTATGGAATTATGTTCATACGAGAATGATAATTATTGTTTGAATGCAGAATAATTATGGAGTGTTTCTAATTAATTTTCAGCGTTTAAAACCTTTATACATTAATAAGATTTAATTGTTCATGAAAATTAATTACGATTCTCATCACAACCATTGATTTTTTTGATATGATGTTCTATAATTATGTTTACCTTCACACAATATATGTGACATGTAACCATGTATATATATATATATATATATATATATATACACACACACACACACACACACACACACAAACATACATACTAGGGGACAGCGTTGTGCAAAAACACCTATATAGTTGAAGTTTTTACAAATATTTGTTTTTTTTTTAAATATAACAATAACGTTGTTAAATTTGATATAATAATTCGTATATTAAATTGATATAATATATTGATTATTTTGAATTATATGATAATATATACATCTATTATAATTGCATAATTTCAATCGTTTGAATGACTTCTACCCGTGAGTTACACATGAATAAAGTTAAATATAATATATGGTTTAATGTTATTTATAGTTGTTGTTATTGTTAATTTTTTTTTAAAATTTTATTTGCTTAATGTTTTAATTTCTATAATTTATATAGAGTTATTTTGGTTAATAAAATGGTATCAATGATATATTAAGATTTATAGCAAATATTATTACATAAAATGGTATCAATGATATATTAAGATTTATAGCAAGTATTATCCTAAATTACTCTTTAATTCCATCTATGTCCACAACGAAACTTGAACATCCAGCCTCAAAAAGAGAGGGTAACACAGGATAACGCTGGGTTAGGAGCCTTTTGGTAAATAAAATGGTCTCAATGATATATTAAAACTTATAGCAAGTATTATTACATATAAGAAGCTTTGATATATAATTAATCTAAGCAACTTAAATTAGTTATAAAAATAAAAATTAATAAAAACATATTAAAAATTAATATTGAAAAAATAAGATAGTGTCAACATTAGTGGTTGTTGAAATTCCAATCCACCAGTTCGATTTTTGTTAGGTTTCGTCTTTGTATTTACTCTACTTTATTTTATATATGCAATAAATAAACATTAAAACTCATTATTAGGAAAGAACAACACATTATTTCCTAATGAACAAAAGTAATGATTTGTCAGTAAAATTATGCATCTAATTTTAATAGGAAATAATATTAACTAAAATTAAGTTATGTCAAACCATCAAACATTAAAACTCATTTTTAACATTTTTTTGAAGGACTAACTCACACATCAACTGATATATTCATAAAATCAAAAATTTTCGTTTCAAGTGGTCATTTGGATGAGGAATACCTTTCAGTCAAGTGTGAAACTATGATGTACCAAGATGGGTCCTAAGACCTATCTAATTTTTTAATTTTATTTACTATCTATTTATAAAAAAATTATGATCTATTTTGAAAAAAATTAGGACCTATATTATACTCTTATAGTATTTAGACAAATAAGATAAAAATAAATAAAAGAAATGGTGGAATGATTTACTTAAATTTGCAAAGAATATGGTTAATTTTGATCAAAATCTATCCCAAATTGGAGACAAAGATAAAAAGTCGTAGGTATTTGATATTATAAAACGGATATCTCAAAGGGGATATTGAAAATAGGCGCATGATCGGAGAGATCCCTACCCACAAGGAAGCAGGAAGCAAGGGGATATAAAGATAAGAAACGATTGCACACCAAAAATCAGTCTAACTTGCTCAATTTAACACCCTGAATTTTAAAGAAAGTATCCAGGCCTCTAACCACACCGGAAATTGAAGAAAGATCAATAAGTGGAGTTAAGATCGTTGAACAAGCTAGAATCACTGATATGGACATGAAACAAAGAGCAAAACTGAAATGGGAGGGTAAAGAGCGATGAAAATACACATTTCTTTCACGATTACGTTAATAACATGAACCAGAAAAATCACATCCACGGGATTATGACCAGTGGAGGTTAGACCATGGATCTGAATATGATGAAGCAGGAAGCACTCATATTCTTTGAAGAGAAATATAACGAAGTTTGGCCAAACAAACCCTTGTTTCATAGTTCTGGATTTCACAAACTTTCTGAAGCTGATGCTAGCTTTTTGGAAGGAGAATTTTCGTTGGGAGAAATAAAAAATGCAGTATGGTTGTGTGGTGGTGATAAGTCCCCGAGGCTAGATGGCTTCACTTTCAATTCCTCAAAAAATATTGGGATTTGTTAAAAGATGATATTGTAGGGTTGTTAAATACTTTGAAGCTGGAAACAAGCTTACTAGTAGATGCAATTCTTCGTTTATTTCTCTAGCCACCAAATCCAAAGATCCAATTCACTTTAGTGACTTCAGACCTATAAGTTTGATTGGACCACTTTACAAAATCATTGCAAAATTGTTAACCCTTAGGCTAAAGAAGGTTATTGGTAGTGTTATCAACGAGGTTTCAATACGCCTATGTGGAAGGAAGAAATATTCTGGAGGGTCCCTTGGTGGCTAATGAACTCTGCTCCTGGGCAAAAGAGAAACGGAGAAAGTTGCTACTGTTTAATGTGGATTTTAACAAAGCTTTCGGTTCCGTGAATTGGGTTATTTTGGATTCAATTATGGAACAAATGTGCTTTGGTAACAAATGGCAAAACTGGACCCGTAACTGTTTGGATTTGGGAAGAGCATCAATAATTATCAATGGAATCCCAACAAGAGAATTCTCCATGACTAAAGGGGTGAGACAAGGTCCCCGCTCCTCTTCAACATTGGGATGGAAGGGTTACAATTGGCGATGGAAACGACGGTAGACAAAGGGGTTTTTGATGGGATAAATTTCCCAAAGTCTAACATTTTTTTGTCACATTTATTTTATGCAGATGACGTATTATTCATCAGAGAATGGTCAAGGCTTAACATTGAAAATCTGGCAAGAATTTTGAGATGCTTTTATGTCTCGTTCGGGCTGAAAGTGAACTTTAGCAAGTCTAAAGTGTTTAGTGTTGGAGAGCCCTCTAGTGAGGTATCAAATTGGTCCGCTCCCATGGGGTGTGAACCATCATATCTTCCGTTCAGCTATCTTGGTATCCCGGTTGGAGAAAACATGAACTTGAAGAGAGCTTGGAGGCCGATAATTGAAAATTTCCATTCCAAACTCTCGTCTTGGAAAGCGAATACCCTAGCTTCGGGGGTAGAATAACTCTAGCAAAGGCGGTGCTTGGTAATCTCTCAACTTACTTTATGTTTATCTTTGAAGCTCTCAAAGGAGTCATTGATACACCGGAAAAAATTAGAAGGAGGCTTATATGGAGCAGTAAAATTGAAAAGAAAAGTATTAATTGGGTTGCATGGAATACTCTTATAACACCAAAAAGGGTGGGTGGCATAAGACTTGGTTCCATAAGATGTCTCAACCTGTCTTTGTTAGCCAAATGGATGTGGCGGTTGAAATCGGACAACTCTGTCATGTAGGCAAAAATCATTTGGTGCATTCATGGCTTATACAGAAGACATTGGTATAGCTTTGCAAATAAATCTATGACTGGTGTTTGGAAGAACATAGCAAGATCCCTGTCTGCCCTAAAGACTTTTAATATTGACTCTAATGAAATTGTTAATTGGGACTTAACTAAATGTTGTCGGGCATCTGGTTTCGTGATTGACAACCAATTCTCTATAAGTTTGTTACGTGAACGGATTGAATTGGTAAGTCATGTAGTATGTGTTGGACCATTTGAGTGGTGTAAGGTGGTACCATTCAGAATTCATTGCTTCATATGCAGAGCGAAGCTGGGTAGGATCCCATCATTGGTCGAGTTAAGTCACAGGGGGGATTGCAGTTACTTCGATCACATGTGGTTCATGTAATCTTGATGATGAGTCAAGTGATCACATTTTGCTATCATGTCCATTGGCGAAAACTGTGATGGATTCAATTCTATCTTGGTGTGAAATCCAATATGGAGGTTTTCAATCGGTGAAAGATGTGTTACTTTTCTTATCGCGATGGTCACGTTGCAAAAAGAAAAGAAGCTTTTTGAATGCGGTATTTTGCGAGATTTTGTGGTGTATTTGGATTGATAGGAACAAAAGAGTTTTAAAAAACACCCCCTTTGTTCCGGCAAATACTATGACAAGAATTAAGTCGACAACGTTCATTTGGTGCAAGCATAGAGGCTCGTTAAAAACATAGACCGGAGAGTTTGGAACTTAAATCCTTTTCTTTGCTTGTATTTTTGCCATTTTTATTTTATTTGTACTCTTTCCCCTGCATCGTCTTGATGTGGGTGTTTTAAAAA